TTTCTCTCTCACACACACACACACACCCCTCTCCCTTTCTCTCACACACACACACCTCTCTCCCTCTTTCTCTCTCACACACACACCCCCCTCTCCCTCTTTCTCTCTCACACACACACACACACCCCTCTCCCTTTCTCTCACACACACACACCTCTCCCTCTTTCTCTCTCACACACACACACCTCTCTCCCTCTCTCTCTCACACACACACACACACACACCCCTCTCCCTTTCTCTCTCCCTCTCTCTCACACACACATACACACCACCCGCCACCCACCCCCGTCCTTCTGTTCCTTCGACCTGCCAAGCCTGCTGCCACCTCAGGGCCTCAGCCCCCGCTGCTCTCGCTGCGCCAAGGCCTTGACCTGGCTGCGTGGTCCCAGTGGAAATTCAAGTTCCAGATTCACCGTCACCTCCTCAGACGGGCCTTTCTGAAACGGCCACAGCCCCGATGGGCAGCCGGGTCACAGTACCGTCTCCTTCATGGTTCTTCCCGCTCCCTGAAACCATCTATTTTACTTGGTTGTTAACTGCACCCCCTTCAGGGACATGTACTTTCCAGACAAGCAGGAATCTTGTGGCCTTGCCACCGATGTGCCTGTGACACCTGGCACGGAACAGGTGCTCAGTAAATGTGAACTCACGCGCCCACCTGCACAGGGCTGCAGCTACGTGTCACTCCCCCGGACGCACAGGCACTCCTCACGGCATCTCACCCACCTCAAGTGCAGCTCCTTCCCCGGAGCCGTTCTCCCGTGAGCCCTTGGCCCGCCCTGGACTGACTGGTCCAGCCCCGAGGCTGGGGGTTGGGGGTACGCACACCCCCAGCGTGAGACTCTCCCACCACAGTGGAGGCAGCAAGCCTGGTTCTCACCCCTCCTCGGTGCAGAAGCAGCCCAGGAGGAAATCGGCTGAAGCCTCAGCCCTCTAACCTTCAGAGCCCAAGTCCATCTCCAGCCTCTCCTGACTGTCCTGGCTCCGCTGGGGCCCAATGATCTTAACAAAGTGTGACAGCCATCTGCTTCAACACCCTCCCCCCTACCCCACCCCACTCTGACATGCTCCTTCCTCACAGTGCTGGGCAGTGGGGGCTGGCGGGCCCTCGGGATGCAACTCATCTCTCCAGACCCTCTCCTGGGGCAGAGCATGGAGCAGGGGTCCAGGTGGGCTGCCACTCAGGAACCACAAGAGGATGCAGGCTGGGGAGACAAGATGCTAGTCAGACTGTTTTAACTAAAATTGCTCTGCAACTTGCTTTTCTATCTGGACCCCAGGTCCTCACCTGCAGGACTGTCTCTGGCCTCTAAAATATGTCACACTCCAAGGTGTGGCTCTGCCACGGTCTAGGTGACTGTGCCTCGGCAGTCACTGTCACCCTTGATGCTGCAGGGACATCCTTGTGGAAGTCGCCCGATGCCATGACATGAGCCTCCAGGAGGCAGCCAAGAAGGGGCAGAAGCAAGGGTGGCGTTCTTACTCGTCCACCGCCCTTCCTAACAGCCATGCCAGCTTACACTCCCATCAGCAGTTCAGGGGAGTATCTGGTTCCCCAAACCCTCAACCCATACCCAATTCCAGCGTTTTCAATTTATGCCAATCTTATAAGTGAAAATTGGTGGTCAGGGAGGTTTTAATTTGCATTTTCTTAATGAGAAATGGGTCTGAGTGGTCTTAAAACCTTCTAACCTGAGAAGAATGCTAGGAGTACCATGGTCTACTAAAAGGACTAACAAATTTGCCCTGGAAGAAGTGCAGCCAGAATGCTCCTTACAAGAAGTGCACCCCTACAACCTTGTGTCCAAGGAAGCCAGAAAGGCCAGACTTCGTCTCACTGACTTTGGTCATGTTGTCAGAAGGGACCATTCCCTGGTGAAGGATATCATGCTTGGTAAAGTGGAGGGTCAACGAAGAAGGGGAAAGCCCTCCACAAAATGGACAGATACAGTGACTGCAACGATGGGCTCAGGTACAGCGAGGATCGTGAGGCAGTGTTTCGTTCTGCTGTGCACAGGGTTGCCATGAGTCAGAGACAACTCAACGGCACCTAACAACAATCTGGACAATAAATATCATTAACAGTAGGGACTGGCTGCCTCGAGTATTGTGCTCTTTTAGAAAACTGTATGGGCCACAGCCAAACACCTTGAGGGTGTGAGTTGCTGGGCCTACAGCCTCAGGACCATGGTCATGGGGGGACATCGCACTCAACTGGCATAACACAGTACACAAAAACATTGTTCTACATCCTGCTTTGGTGAGTAACAACTGGGGTCTTAACAGCTTGTGAGCATTCATCTAAGATGCAACTACTGCTTTCTCTTTGTTTGGAGCAAAGACGAGTGAAGAAAATCAAAGATGCATAGAAACAATTAGGCCAAGGGACTAGTGGACCACAGGAACCTCAGCCTACCTGCCTCTGAGACCAGAAGAACTAGATGGTGCCCAACTACCACTGTCAACCACTCGGAAAGGGATCGGAATAGCAGATCCTGGAGACAATGAGAGAAAAATGTGGAACAAAACTCAAAATTATAAAAAAGACCAGGCTTAGTGGTCTGATAGAGACTGGTGGAACCCCCAAGAACACCTTTCAGGCACCTTTTAGGCCTGGAATTAAACTCACTCCTGTGATTTAACTTTCAGCCAAAGAATAGGACTATGAGGTAAATAATGGTATCAGGGAGGTGCACTCCTTAGAACGATTAACCATGGGAGACCAGAGGGGCAGCATTTGCAAAGGAGAAAGAAGGCAGGAAGGCAGAGGCAAGGAGGACACAGGGAAAAGGTAACCAGAGGGAGGAAGTGGGGAGAGGGCTATTACATCATGGAGACTGCAAACAATGCCATAAAGCAAAATGTGTATGAACTGTTGAATGGAAGATGAATTTGATCTGTAAACTTTCACACAAATCAAATAAAAAGCATAAAAAAAAAAATCGTATGGGATCAAACTGACAACAGCAACTCGAGAGGTTAGATGGGGAGCTTGGGGGGCCCTGATTCCATGTCAATGGTGGGCGTACGATTTAGGAAAGGAGGGTGCGAAGGTTACACAAATGTCATTAGTGTCACCACACAGTACAAGCAGAAACTGTATTTTCAACAACACTAAGAGAGAAAGGCCACAGCCTAAATGAACAAGGGCAGGGGCTGGGTCTCACCCACCTTGGCATCTCGTCACAGCCTGCACACGCGTTCCGGACAGTAAATCAAGTGTTCGAGCCACATAGCCTGCGAGCTCTTGAGAACTACAGTGGGAGGCACAGTTTGACAGACTCTGTATTCCGTGCACAAACAGCACCACATAAACAGGATCACTCGATAAATGTTTAAAATGAATGACGTGGCATCCAGGGGACACAGCCAGTGACAATGGCAGCTGGTCCCAGGGCACCAGCGCAGAGCTGACAATACGTTCTCACAGGTGCCATGGGCACGATCACGGAGACCAGACATTGCTCACGTCTTTGTCCTGCAGCCCCTGCCCCACCCCCACCCCCTCTCTTGCTTGTCAGAGGCCAAGGCAACTGGGTTCCAGTTTTCCGCCAGCAAAGCTGTCAGCCCTGCTCGTCCAACTCCTGAAGAGCAATCAAGAGGTCTCTCAGCAGCCTCCCCAGGCCTCTGTGAGGTCACACGTGAGTCTCACGTCTTGGCACAGCCCCCGCCCGTCTGTTTTGTCCTCCTCCTCAGAGCCCCCCGAGCTGCGTCCTCGCCCTCAGTGGAGAGGCCCGAGTCCGAGAGGGAGCGGGCTGCAAGCCTGGCTGAGCACTTCTCACGTCACAGCTCAGCGTGCCCAGAGCCCAGCTCCGACAGATGCCACCGAGAAACACAGCCCGGTGGCCCTGGGGGAGGCCTTCCGGAGCTGCTGGTGTCCGTCTGCACAGCTCAGGGTGGTGGGCTGGCTTGGCGCACGTGTGTCTGTGTGGGTTTACATGACGGCTTTATTGTGGTAGCATCCAGATACCACACAAATCATTTATTTAGAGTGGACAGTTCAGCCATGCTCGGTCCATGGACAGAGTTGTGCAGCCAGCCCCACACATGATTTCAGAACATTCTCATCACCCCCAAAAGAAACCCCGGGCCCATCAAAGCCACTCTCTGGGTATGTCTTCCCACAGAAATGAAGCTTGCAGCGGCGTAGGCTTTGTTTCACAAGCAGACGGCAGAGTCCCCGGGAAGAGAGGATGCTCTGTGGCCAAGAGTTAGGGGCATGTATCTGGGGATCGTGGCTGGGGTGACAGCCCACCCTCCGTCCATGACACCTTAGCCACATGTTTACTGACCGCAGGCCATTTCGGGCTTTGTGCTTCATGTGCACAGTGGAGGAATGGCTTTCACACTGAAGGTCCTCTCAAGCCTGCCACCCCTACACCCTTGTGTCCAAGGGTTACTTGGCATCGAGCTGGCCTGACTCATGACAACCCCATCCATGCATAACGGACGAAAAGCTGCCAGGCCCTGTGCCACCCACGTGAGCTGCTGCAGTCAGACCCATGGGACCTAGGGGCTCTCACTGGCTGAGTTTTGGAAGCAGGTTATCAGGCCTTTCTTCCTACTCTCAGTCTGGAAGCTCCTTTGAAAGGTGTTCAGCTTCATAGCAACGCTCAGGTCTCCACTGCAGACAAGTGGTGGCTGTGGATGGGCTGCACTGGCCAGAACTGAACCCAGGTCTCCCACATGGAAGGTGGGAACTGAAAAAGCCCCTGTAAAAGCCAGCAAAGGACAGGCCCACTAGAAAAGCCAACATTGTAGCTGGTGCACGCACTCTAGTCCAGGACCAGACGTCTGGTCGTGCACATCTGCTGTTTGCCTGTCTATCAGTCACCTCCCCACTTCTGGTTCCAGGGCCTCAGTCTTCTTTTGGGTAACCACCTTGCCCCCACACTCAACCTGGGTGGGTGGGCAGAGCTGAATACTATCACTGGGTACACGACCCAGAGCTGGCCAATCAGGGCTCTACATCTCTCTAGCCAGTGATTGGCTCAGCATGAAACCTTAGCTTGTTGTTGTTGTTATGTGCCGTCGAGTTGGCCCCAACTCTTAGTGACCCCTCCTTGGGTTGCGAAGGCAGTATCACTATGGAAATAGATTGCCCAACTTTCCTGCTGAGGAGTGGCTGGTGGGTTTGAACCGCCAGCCTTCTGGTTAGCAGTCAAGTGCCTAGCTTAACCAATGAGAAATCTGGCTAAGATTCCAGCTGGGCTGGAGGAAAGAGCTCTCTTTCCTCTGGAGTTACTGATCCCACAGGAATAGAAAGAAGGGTCAAGATGCTGGCCTGGGCCGCTGGGGCCCAAGGCAGGGAAAAATAGAGTGAGGAGACAGGTGGTGGGAGCTGAGACCATTCAAGAGAACTCCCCAGTTAGATGCCCTCATAAATTCCTTCTTGTTTAGGTCCAGTGGGGTGGGTTTCTGTCATTTGCAAAAGTTGCAAGGCAAGATATCCCACTTCCTTCACTAACCGAGTGAATGAACTACAGCGCATCTCACATGGGAGGCCTCAGACATGAACCAAGGACGGCTCCATCCCGCACGGGGGAAATGCCTCCCACTCCCAAGGCCTATTTCCCTGTTCACACCCTGTCCCAGTTCAGGCCTCATGTGCAACCAGAAACAGGGAAGAGGCCCAGTGAGACCAAAACAGGCCGCAAATATGCAGGATCCCATGTCTTTCAGCTCCACTGTTTCCAGAAGTCCGGTACAGCCTCAAGGGCCTTCCCTCATTCTAGAGCTTGGGTTTGATTCATTTCAACAGTCTATGGGGGATCACTGGGGACCAACTGTGAGCTGGCTCTGAGATGCTTCAGAGATGAGAGAGGTGGTGTGTGTCCCAACCTGGCCTCTCCCTCCCCCTCCTGTGTTCTCCTGGGCTGTTTCCTTAGCTAGTCCCTGGTAAACAGCCAAGACGAGAGGGAAGAACCCAAAGGGAGGGGAACTCAGCTCTGGGAAGGAGCCAGGGGAGGGTCAGGCTAAGTCTCCAGTGGGTGGCGAGGATGAGTCACAAGTTTTAGCATCCAAGATCCAGACCACCTACCATGCCTTCCCCACCCCCACTCACACACACTGCCTACAGCTCCTGTGGGCATCCCAGGAGCCCACGCTGCCCCACCCCAGATGCCCACCCCCAGGCCACCCGAAACCCTGCCCCAGTGTCCTGAGCCAGGCCTGGAGCAACTTCCCACACCATCCACTCGTGATTCCTGAGCTGAGCCGACTTGCTGTGAAAGGTCTTCTGAAAAGACCCCTGGGTGTAAAGAGAACTGGGTGCTCCCAGAAGGCACGCCCTGAATTCTCTGTGTCCCTACCCTGTCTGCATTAGGAAATGCTCCATAAACATGCACAAACCCACACACAGAGCTGTGACTGACAAGCTCAGGGTCGACCCTTCCTCCTCCACCAGCACAGCCTTCGCTCCAGGCAGGCTCCAGAAAGGCCCCGGTGAAGCCATTAGGCAGGCGAGGCTTGGCTTCAGAACTCCAGTTCCTCCCTGTTTAGTGACCTTCTCCATCTTCCTGGTATACCCCACTCTCCCGGGAATCCCCACTCAGTCCCGCTTCATTTTCCATGGTAACTCCTCCACCCGCCATCCACAGGTTGTCATACTAGAAAAAGAGTTGACCACAATAACTCTTACTACAGTGTTAATGACTAGTGACTCAGCATGTCATGGCCCTGAGCACTCTTAACTTGAGTCCAGCAGAAGGGGGAAAGCCCAGGCTTGGTAGCAAGCCCACAGGTACAGGAAGAGACTTGGCACCAAGGAAGCCTTGTCAATTGCCCTGGTCCCGTTTTCCCACTATAGATTCCCCTGACATCCCTCTGACCACTCGCACAAGCAGAAAGATACTCTTCACTCTAAAATTAGGGAAAAGTATGAATGTTATTTACTCCGTAAGATTTTCAACTTCGGTGCTTCCCAAAGCCTGGGACAAAGACCTCAATACATGGATGATACCAGATTTTAACACTAAACTCACTGCCGTCGAGTTGATTCTACTCATAGCAACCCCTCCTTGGGTTTCCAAGGCAGTATCTCTATGGAAGTAGATCGCCCAATCTTCCTTTCTGCAAAGCAGCTGGTAGGTTTGAACCACCAGCCTTCTGGTTAGCAGTCAAAATGCCTTAGGCACTACGCCACCAGAGCTCCTGATTAGGATACGAGATGATACAAACCGTGTGGTGAGAAGTCATCTTTCCACTTCTCTCTCCGCTGTCCTGATTAAGGAGTGTCGGTCAGATGCTAGGATATCTCTAATGCCTGCTAAGATTGCTCCTCTCCTATCCTACACACACACGCACACACATGCACACGCACACACACACACGCAGCAAACTCGGAGCCCTCAGGAAGCAAGAGTGGCCGAGTTCAGTGACACACACAACATGAGGTGAACACAAAAGGAGCATCACACACGTTCTTCTTTTTCCTGCAAGCGACACTGGATGTCATGGGTGGTGGTAAAACAAATTTTCCTTTTCAATAAATTCGTATTCACGAAGGGAGGGAGGAAGGGACGGAGGGAGGGAAGAAAGGGGGTGATTTAAAATTTAAAACAGGAGGAAATTACTGGCACGTGGATGTGGCTGTAACTGCGTGGGTGGGACAAGAAGGTATGTGGCTTGAGAGAAGTTGATCTTTTCCAGAAGGCTACAAGCTCTGGGCTGTGTTCCTCCAGATGCCGCTCCCATCGGCAGGAGAGAAGCACTCACCCTTACCTCTTGTCTACAGGCAGGGGAAGGTTCGCAGGGCAGGCCCCTACCACGACAGCCCACTGGGCAGAAAAGTGAGAAGGGGGTTTGTCCCAGACCCCTAGCTGTTCCTCACTAGCCCCCAGGAGGGAAAAGCCAGGAGTTTGTTCCAGGAGGGAACAGGGGCAAGAACCGCAAGCAGAAGTTCAGATGCCCACTCAAAAGGAATCGCACCTTGGGAAAAGGGTGCTCCAGGTGGCAAGTTGTGGATTTTAGCTGGGTCCCGAGATGCTCATCTTAGAGCAGGCAGATCCAGGAGACTATAAGAAAACAGTGGGGCTTCTCACACTCAGAGCCCTTCAAAGAAAGGGTCCCCAGTCACGCCTACATTCACTCAGCAAGACTGATGCCATCACTGCCTCACGAGACTGAGCAACAGCCCGAGGAGGGGACATGACTTGCCTACTGCCACACAGCTCATGAGTGTCAACAACACTGGGGTGAGACCCCAGGAATCCTCACCCCCAGCCTGGCTTCCTTCCTCCCCAGCAACACTTTGACAAAGCAAGTTTGGCCCAAGGTTGCCCATCATCTGTGCACCCTCCCCCCTAACTCCCTGCAGGAGACCATCCACTCTTGTGACCCTGAATCCATTTATCCTTCTCCTAGTAACAGCATCCCAATTTTGCTCTGGGGACCCATTCCTCTTCTTGACACTCAACTTGTACACTTTTGGGAGGAGTTGTCTCTAATGACAGCTATCGGGGCAGGAACAAGGTTCAGGCCTGGCCAAGCACAGCAGAGCACTCTCTGGCCAGTGATTGGCTCAGGGATGATCACATGATGCAGCCAACACCAAAGGGACCTAGATTCTTAGAAGAAAGGAATATGCCCTATTTTGTTGGAAATGCTAGAAATGATGGCACAGTCCTGGGGCTGCTGGGTGCCCCTACACAGAGCCTGATAGAAAGATAATGCAGTGAAAGACAGAAGTGAGAGATGGAAAGAAACTTGGTCCTGATGACCCTGAGCACCTGGATCAAGCCTTACCTGAAGCTAGCCCAATGGACCTGTTTGTTCCTTGATACAACAAAATAAGTTTCCTTCTCTGTTAAATCAGTCTGAGTCAGCTTTTCTGTTGCTGACAAGCAAGTGATGCTGGAACCACAGCACCAAGTGTGGTTTTCCTTCTCCCCGGATCTGAACAGTCATGGACCCAAGGAGGGTGACAGCCCTCAACCTGACTCCCCTCCCACAGTTCCCACATGGCCCCCAATTACCTTGAGCCATTGCTGATGAGAATGCTCTCCCGAATCGTCAGGGTGCAGTAATACCACACGAGCAGGAAGTTAAAGATTTCATCCGTCACCCTGTCACAGACAAACAGTCCCCCAGGGGAGGGAGTGAACGTAAGAACCAGAGACAGCTGACTCTCCCTTTCCCCTACAGAGGAAGTAAATGAGGGCTGGTCCCACAATACAGGTGCTGCTCCTGAAATTCCCCAGATGGGTCCCAGGAAGACAAGGGAGTTTGGCCTCTTGGGCATCTCCTCTTGCCCTAGAATGCCTGTCCCTCTCACCTTCCTACCTGAATCCTACCTGACCTTCAAGCCCTAGCTGAGGTTCCCTCTCCTGCCCTTGGCAACCTGGTAAATTCTGAGTATCTGACCAAACACCTGGTGAGATTGGCTTTCTGAGCTTGAAGCGTTAGGACCATAGTCTCATGGAACATCTCAGTCAACTGGCATAACAGAGTTCATATAGTTATGTTCTACATCCTAGTTTGATGAATAGTGTCTGGGGTCTTAAAAACTTGTGAGTGGCCACCTAAGATATAGCTATTGGACTCCACATCTGCAGAAAAAAGAAAGGAAACCAAAGACTCAAAGAAACTAGTCTACAGGACAAATGGTCTACACGAACCAGCAGAACTAGATGGTGCCCAGCTACTACTACCCACCATTCTGATCAGGGCCACAGTAGATGGAACCGGACAGAATGGGAGAAAAATATAGAACAGAACCTCAAATTCTTAAAAAATCCAGACTTACTGGACCACATGAGACTGGTGGGCTCCCCAAGAGTATTGCCCTGAGATACTCTTTAAACCTTGAACCAAAACTAGCCCCTGAGGTCCCCTCTTAGCAAAATAAAAGATTGGCTCACAAAATAGAGAATATCACCCATGAGTCCTATGCTCTTCTGAAAAAACGGTCATCTATGTGAGAAGAGCCAGTCAACAATTTCTTTAGAATGAAGATGAAAAGGTAAGAGGGCAGAGAAACTAGATTAATGGAAATGGAGCCACCAGAATGGAAGCAGTGAGAATGATCACACTTCGTGAAGACTGCAAACCATGAGTGATTTGTGCAGAAACTGTCAATGGGAACTTAACCTGCTGTGTAAATCTTCACTGTGAACACAATAAAAAATTAGTTTAAAATTATAGAATTATATTACACTATTACTTTAAACAATTAAATGTCTGACATGAAATTTCTTGGTGGCATGGTGACAGAAGGACTTACAAACAGGACACCTAACATCCATTTTAGAGATGTAAACTCTGTCTATCCCCTTAGACCATCTGTGAACTCTGTTACACGTATAAACAAATTTTGTGGTTTCTAAGACTAACTGAAGAATGCCACATACCCAGCCCTGACCTGTGGCTTTTTTTTTTTTGGTAACAGCTTTATTGAGATATAACTCACGTTCCATACAGTTCACCCACTGAAAGTATCACTCAGTAGTTTTTAGTATATTCACAGGGTTATGCGATCATCACCCCAAAAAGAAACCTTGTCGTCCTCAACCCCAAGCAAGCAGTGTTCGATGCTGCCTGGGACCTCTCTGTGATGACCATAGCCTGGAGCTGGGCAGAACAGGCCTTAACAGGAGACAGAACTGGGCTGCTGGAGCGGTCTGTTCCACCCTCAGAGTGGAGGCCAGCCACAAGCTGTGTGTGACCCTCAGAGACCCGCCCTGGCCTCAGTCTCATCATCTGTAAAGTGGGAAAGCTGCCCCCACCAGCCTCATAGGGCTCCACTCGTCTGCCGCTGTCTCTGCTGAGGCCTGATCACAGCTCTCTGACTCACCGGGGAAGCAGCCACACTCTGAGTGTCACGCAGACTCATGCGACGACGTGGGACTACAAACAACTCCACTGATACCGTCTGTCTGAATCAAGGGTCAGGAAAACACCCCCAAGCCGCTTCTATCCCTGACCTGGGAGATCCTCTTCCCAGATGTGGGAGGGGTGTGGCAACGGAATCCAACATGCCCTTCAAACCCTAGCTGAGGTCCTACTTAGAGGGGGGCCACTGAAACACCACTAAGAGCCACTGGGGGCTGTTTCATGGCTGCAGATCCAGACCCTCTAGGCTCACCCCTGCTGAGCCATCACTGCACAGGCTGTCTCAGGAACACAGATGCTAGAAAGAGAGGCCCGAGTTCAAATCCCTGTTCGGCCTCTTCCCAGCTGTGTGACCAGACAGGTCAGTTATTCTCCTGTGCTGTTGCTTCCATGTCTGTAAGGTGGGGCCAGTACCTACCACACAGGGCTGCCATGAACATGACCTGAACGTAATGCATGACATGCTTAGAACCATGCCTGGCCCATCGGAAGAGCTCGCTATGCTTCCTGTTGGAAGCACCACTGAGGAGCCAAAGTCCTAGAGACACCCTGAGGAACTAACCCTGGGGAAACAGATGCCGCCTGACTCCCCGAGTCGGGACTTCTGGCCTCCAGAGAACATCTCTCTGCTGTTTTAAGCCCCCCAGTCTGTGGCACTTTGTTGTGGCAGCACTGAGAGACACATACAGAAGAGAGTGGGGAGAAAGAAAAACACCCAGACCCTCAAAAGAACCTTAAAACTCACCAACACCCCACAAGTTTGTCCTTAGAGGACCCTGGAGGTCCTAGCACTCGGGCATCTGGCCACACATCCAGGACTTTCACCCCCTTCCAAAGGGGCATGAGGAGGCATTCCCAATCCAGCAGCCTCTGCCCTCTAGGAGAACAGGCCAGGCCTGAGGCGGCAGGCGGGCGCAGGCCCAGGGCCTAAGAGAGCCTTTGTTTGGGCACTTAAGTGGCCAGACCAGCAGTTGGGACTCCCAGCCAAGCGCCTGCCAGGAAATGAACCCTTGACCTGTGGGCCAAATGCCCAAGCTGTACTTGGCCGTCTCCCCCAGGCAGAAAACCCAGTGCCAGAGGGAGAAAGGAAACACTCTGGCCGGTGCCACGTCCCCACCGCCTCGCCTCAGCCTCTCGAGCAGCCCGGCCTCATCCTGTTTCAACAATGATGTTCTCAGTGGGCACCACCGTGTACCAGGTGCTGTTCTAAGCCCTCCCACACACAGCATTAGCTCAGTTAATCATCACATCAATGCCGTGAGGTAGGTACTATTTATCACTCTTATTTTACAGATGAGGAGACTGAGGGTCCCAGAGGACACCTGCCTGTGGGTAACAGCCAGTTAACTGCAAAGCTGGGATTCAAACTCAAGCAGTCTGAGTTCTCCTCTTATTTTTTTTAAATTCAGATATAAGTCACATACCTTCAAATTCTCCCTTCCAAGTGTATAATTCATTGATTTTTAGTATAGTCACAGGGGTGTACAAGCTAAACTGCTACATAACTCCAAACCATGTTCATCCCTGAAATAGAAAACCCTATCTCCATTATTAGTCACTCCCCATCCCTCGTCCTGCCATCCCCAGGCAACCACTGATCTACCTTTTGTGTCCATGGAGTTGTTTATCCTGGACATGTCTTATCAATGGAACCATACAGTATGTGTCCTTTCACGACTGTTTTTTTCACTTAGCATGATGTTTTATTTGTTCCTCTACGTCCTGGCATGTATCAGTACTTCATTCCTTTTCATGGCAGAGTAGCACTCCACTGTATGGATGGATACACCACTCTGGGCTCACTGGTAACCACTCTATCATCAGGCCTTCCCAGAACATTTAACAGATATTTATCATATGGCTGCAGGGTGAACGAACTGCCACTGCTCATAAGAAATGGTCCCTTCTCGACCCCACACCTTGTCACATCAAACACTCCAGAAGCAGGTGAGACCCTGGACGCCTCTCTCCCAGCCTTCAAGCCAGCTGGCCCTCTCCTCATCCCCCACCTGTCCACACCGCCACGCTCGTTACCTATAGTGAAGGACAAATCGACAGGCCACAGCACCGAGGAGCAGGATTATTGTCAGGTAGAGCTTGAACTTCTCGTACTCGTCCTTGTAGGCGAACCTGCAGCACAGAGCACCCCGCGAAAGGTCACACCACTGCTACCGTCCTACCCTCAGACCCTTGACCTACCTCTCATTCCCCACACCCTACAGGAGCCTTCCGATTCCATTAAAGGAGAGATCTGGCTTTGAATTTATGGTGATGATCAATTAGGGAAAGAGGGGCAACCACACAAAAGTTTCCCAAGTCCCTGGACTCCAGGGCCCCCTCCCTCAACCACCTTATCACAGCAGGAACACCAAGGCTCAATTTCCCCTGGAAACTTCTGTGAGAAGGGATAAAGAGGGGCTATCCTCATGGGAAATGGGGGTCCTGTCTACTCAACATACCGACTCTGTGAGAGGAAGGAAAACCTCCCCTGAATGGAATGCTCTACCCACCACCCACAGAGGACGACCCAAAGCCAGAGGCCCAGCTGGTAACGTGCTTTTATTTATGTACTACTCCTGGGCTAGCCCGTCTTTCCGGAGCTGAAAGAGCCAAGCACCCAGGCTCCACGGAGCTGAGTGGGGTCCAGGCAGACGTACTTGGCCTGGTTGCTGAGGAGGGTCACGTTCACGTTGCCCAGAACCAGGTTTAAGTAGAGCCTAGGAGGAAAGAAATGTAAGGACCTTCTAGTGAATGGTGTCCCCCCAAAATATGATCACATCTTCACCCCCAGAACCTGCGAATGGGACCTTATTTGGACCAAGAGTCTTTGCAGATATAACTGAGTTAAGGATCTCGAGGTAAGATTATCCTAGATTTAGAGTAGACTCTAAATCTAAAGCCAGGTGTCCTGGTGAGAGAGAGAGAGATTTGAGACACTGAGACACAGAGGCGGGAAGGCCGTGTGAGGACAGAGGCGGGGGCTGGAGTGATGCGGCCACAAGCCAAGGAACACCTGCAGCCACCCGAAGTGGGAAGAGGCAAGGAGGGGCCTCCCCAGAGGCCTTGATTGGACTCACCAGGCTATCGTGAGGATAAAACCACTGACAGTAAGAGAGACCCTAGCATAATGCCCGGCCCACAGGAAGCACTCAATAAACGTTTGTTCTCTCGGGAGAAAACTACCTTTCTTCTTGACCTCAGGGTGGTACCAAGCATGTGGCAAGTGCCCAAACCAGACGCTTCGCCTGGTTCCTTGTAAGCGCCCTCCCCGGAAAGCCGCCACCCCACACAGTGGGGTTCGAGTCCCCTCTGGAGTTCAGGGAGGAACACAAAAGCAAGGGCTCCTTCTGCGTCCTTCCCTCGCTCTCCCTCTTTTCCCTTCAGCCTCAAGTGCTCACAGGGAGGAGTAAGGTAGACGGACCAGGTGGTCCAGGCCTGGGCGCCTGCCTGAGCAGGAGTGGAGTAAGTCCCCAGCTCCTACCCATTCTTCTTGGGCAGGTAGGCCTCCATGTCGAAGAAGACATTCTGCCGCTCCTTGATGTTGGCACCCATCTGCTGAACAAGCTCCGCCTCCTCCCGGCTGGCATGGCATTTGTACCTGTGGTCAGATGTGGGACACGGGAGAAGCAAAGGCGTTAGTCAGACTGGAAGGAGGATCCAGACGCACTGGGGTACCACCTTCCCATCACCTCCCCATCCCAACGCTTCTGGCACCCGCTGCTCCATCTGTTCTCTCTGGGCTTGATTCTGGGGCCTCCATCTGTTCTCTCTGGGCTTGATTCTGGGGCCTCCATCTGTTCTCTCTGGGCTTGATTCTGGGGCCTCCATCTGTTCTCTCTGGGTTTGATTCTCGCTCCTTGCTGGCTCTGTGGCCTTGGAAATACTACTCTTCCTCTCGCCTTTGTAAAGGAACAACGTGGAGATTACTAAGAGGGCACACAGGGAGGTGTTCTGAAAGTATAAGCAGTTAACTAGCCAAGGTCTGACCGTTATTCCTTGGTGAGATTTCAATCTCGACACTACGGACTAGTCACACATACCCTCAGAATGGCAGGTGGTCCTCGCCGTGTGAGAAGCTAACTCACGATTTAACCTTCTAACTCAGTGATTCTCAATCAGGGTGACATTGCCCCCCACCCCCACCCCTCATGGGACACTTGACAATGTCTGGAGATATTTCTTGTTTGGCATTTAGTGGATAGAGGACAGGGCTACTGCCCAACATTCTACAATGCACAAGACAGCTCCCCAGAGCCAGGAATTATCCTGCCCAAAATGTCAAGAGTGTCGAGAATGAACAACTCTAGACTGAAAAGATTCCAGAGTGCCATCAGTAAGCTGTGTCCTTCCAAGAGCTGATGTCTTAAGTGGAACAACCAGAACAGAAATGAGAAAGTTGACACACTGTGAAAAATGTAACCAAAGTCACTGAACAAATGGTGTGTTGTTGTTGTTGTTGTTATGTGCCGTCGAGTCAGACCGACTCATAGCGACCCCTCCTTGGGTTTCCGAGGCAGTATCACTACGGAAGTAGATTGCCCCATCTTCCTTCCGAGGAGTGGCTGGTGGGTTTGAACTGCCAGCCTTCTGGTTAGCAGTCAAGTGCCTTAGACACTACATTACCTGAGCTCCCGAACAAATGGTGTAGAAATTAAATAGGAACCTAATTTGCTATGTAATCTTTCACCAAAAACACAATTAAAAAAAAAAAAAAAAGAATGGTCTTTACACAGGACTGCTATCTTACCTTGGCCCTCTACCCCACGGCTAATAAACCTCCATTTCCAAAATGGTCGGCCAAGGTTAGGGGTATGATCAGTAAGTTTCCCAAGGACCGCCCATGAGGGAAGGGACAAGAATCCCAGGAGTCATAAACCCCGGACAGGAGGCCCAGATAAGTGACCTGGGACAAGCCACTCGAAGCCTCAGTTTCCCCGACTGCCTAGAGACTTACAGCATGTACTAGACCCCTTCCCCAATAGGAACTGAGGGCACGTCCCACACCATGAGACAGGAGGATCAAGAAATGAACCAAGTCGTAAGTTCAAGGATGTCCCCACCAGGGATACCGCCTCTACCCCTAAACCCTAGAACCCGGGTGAGAAAGCCTCTACACCCATGAGAGGATGCCAGCATGGCTGCTTCTTATAACAGAACCTCAACTTTCCTGCGGGAAACTTCCTTCATCCTCCCCCTCATAGGATTCCAGTAGGACTCCCAGGTCCAGGGTGGGCATGTGACCCAATCTTGCCCAACCAGAGTCTCTGTGATTGGTTGATGGGTAATCACATGACCAAGTCCAACCAATGAGGATCATACTCAGAACTTGTACTGAAGCACTGGGAAAGAGAAGTTCTCATCCTGCTGGAGTGGCCAAGTTAGTGGGAAGTAAGACTGGAGGACATAAGCCTGACACTGCTGGTGGCCACCGTGAGGGGACAGCCAACCTGAGAGTGCAGTCAATCCAGAGGAAGGGCAAATTTAGAGAGAAAAAAAAAATAGATTCGTAAAAACACCCTTTGATGCAATCAAGGGACCCTGAAAGCTACTCCTGGCTTTATTTTGTTGGCATTTCCATTTTCTGCTTAAGCCAGTTTGGAGTTGGGTTTCTGTCCCTTAAAACCAGGGAGGAGCTTTAGAGTTATACCCTCACGTACTTCTGGAGTGCGTACTTCAAGTCCTTGAGCCGCTTCTTCTGCTTGTTGATGGAGCCGCTACACAAAGTCTGCAGGGCGGTCAGCTCCTCCAGCTTCTGCTTATAGATCTTGTGGGTTTCCTGAAGGATGGAGGGGACAGGACCCGATGTGGGGGAGAACAGGTCAACAGGACATTTTTCACAGTCTCCTGTGGCCAGGGGAAGTGACTACAACAGTCAAGTTTTACAGCTAAAATGGTACAACTACAGCTCTCAAGGCTGTGGCTGAGATGTTGCTACTTAGGAAACTGAGGCTGGAACGGGGGTGGCAGCATGCATGACACAGCACCCGTGGAGTCAGTAACTGCTGTTTCTCCGGCCCGGCTTCTAGTCCACCTGAAGGCAACAACAGGCAACTATGCCTTCGCCAATTCTTAGTCCACATGATCTGGGTAGAACTGACAGTCCCCCTGGCCAAGGGTAGTCACGGGACCCGGTTCTGGCCAATCAAAAGCCTCTTATCCCTTAGCATGGCCAATGAGAGTCAGTGTGGGGCTTTGGCTGGCATTATTAGTTTAGAGATGCTTGCTTTCTCCTGGGGTTGTTCATCTGGCCAAAGAAGAACACAGGGCTTCAGAGCAGAGAGAGCTCATCTGAGAATGAAGCCAAGTAGAGGAACACAGAAATGAGTGACGATGAGAGACAGAATTCTCATGGTATCATTGCAGCCCCTGGCACTAAACAAGTCTGAATGCAATGCTATCCAATGCTTGGTTATATAAATTAGTAAATTCTTTTTCATGCAGGCAGTTTGAGTTGGGTTTCTGATCCTGGCAATGAAGAGAGGCCTCTCTCTTCATCAAGTTAATTAGGAAAAGCACAAACCTCTTCTTTCCTTACAGCCAATCTTCCCTATCTTAGAAGGAGTCACTCCAATAAACCCAACATGTCATTCTTAGAAATAACCATTCAGGGTTACGTGGCCAGGAGAAATACAAGAGAAGTTGCCCTAAAGACAGGAAAATGGAACACAGTAACTTCTTGACATTTTCACCCCAGCACACCTCCCAGTAAATAACACCACATGCAGGGAAGCAACCCCTGACCTCTGGACTCCTGAGATCTGGGTCAAGCACCAACAATTTGGGGAAACCAATATGGAGAGTGGAGACCATGATACTAAAACCAGCAAGCCATATGATCACAGTCTCATGAGACAACTCAGTCAACTGGCACAACATAGGTCACAAAAACCATGATCTGTATCCTAATGAAGTGAATAGTATCTTGAGTTTTAAAAGCTTACAAGCAGCCATCTAAGATACAACTATGGGTCTCAACCCGCCAGAAGCTAGACAGTAAGTAGGTAACCAAAAGTACACATGTACACATATATATAGACACACACTTCTGGTTACCTACTTGTATGTATACACACAAAGCCAGATAAACTGAACAACAGAGAAAGAGGACTCCCTGGGACTATCACCCTAAGATACTCTTTAAACCTAGAACCGACCCTGTCCTGAGATCACCTTTTACCAAAATACCAAAATGGCACACAAAACAAAGGATATTACGTGTAAGAGTGGCGCCCAACTTAAAAGCCATCAGTATGAAACCGAAAGATGAACAATTTCTCCAAAGCAAAGACGGTAAGGGGGCAGGGCAAACTAGAGTCCTGGGAAGTGAATGAGCAGAACACAATTAAAGAGAATGTTGACACACTGTGATAAATGTAAAAATGTCACTGAACAATTTGTGGAAGTTGTCAAAAGGGAACCCAACTGGCTGTGTAAACTTTCACCAAAAACTCAACAAAATATTATTGAAGGAAAAAAAAAAAAAGTGAGGCAATGAACATACTCAAATTGTTTCCATCTTCCCTGGCAGGAAATGTTTTTCTCAGAGGGCAGGACAAAGAGAATGGTCAAACAGTGAGGGTATGCAGCCTGAACCCCAGTGCCTACAGGCAGGGTCTCTAGATGTGAAGGTTAAGCCAGAAAATCAGGAAGAAGTGAAGACAATGGAGAATGCTCGAGAGCCCCGTCCAAGAACACTGTCGGCAAGTCACCCCTGGCCTACTCCCTCAGACGACCAGTGGACCCAGTGGACCGGGCCGCTCGTCTGAACACAGCACTCTCCTCTCGGATCCCCAAAGGGGAACAGCATGTCTCTTTTTTTGTTGTTGTTAACCATTTATTTTGAAATGATTTCAAAGTCACAGAAGAACTGCAGGACCAATACAAAGAATTTCCATATACCGACCACCTGGATTCACGGATTGTTAATATTATGCCATATATGCTGTATCCCCCGTGTGCATGTGGGTGTGTATGTGGACACACACGCACACGTGCATATCAATATTATTTTTATAAATCATGGGTCAGTAAACTATAGCACGCAGGCCAAATCCAGCCCGTCAACTGTTTTTGTATGGGCTATAAGCTAGGAGGGAGCTCTGGTGGCATAGTGCCTAAGGCATTTGACTGCTAACCAGAAGGCTAGC